GGAAATTTCATGAAGAATATATATATGCACCTCCAGGTAAGTAAAACTTTAGTCTTTACTGATAGAACAGGTGGTGAATGTAATGCACTCATTATGACCTTTTTATAAGTTTCTGAAGGATTAGATTTAATGCTACTTCTTTCAATTAATTTTGCCCATGCCCTCCAGATCCCGACTGTGAAACTGCAACAGTATTTAGTTCAGCAGAACCTACAGCAAACTTGGTAAGCTTTAGTCACTGTCTGTTCAGATTAGGAATCCTTGAAGTGTGTGGTATTCTTCATAGAACCTGTCCTTGGATGTAGGCTTAACATAGTAGGTCAGAGACTACTTTTGAAAGAAAGGCACGATGGTTTCATTTATATATTCACCCCCCTTTTCCTCCCTAAATGGTGAGGTTTTTGACTCAGTCTGCAAGTACAGTCTGACTCGTACTAGATACATTAACGATTTTCCACCTTCCCCGCTGCAAAGAGAAAGCATGCATTTGAGTGCTGTTTACTTTTCTTCTTTTTCTGCTCCAGACAGCACTTGCTTTTATCGTGCTACCTTTCAAGTCCTATTCTACTTAGTCATATTCCTGCACTGTGGGACTGGAGAGCTCTCACCTCTGATGGAACTGACTTTGGAATTTTTTTTTTTTAACCTGAAACTAAATCTTAGACACCTACTGGTCTACAGTGGGTGTGAAAGCCAGTCCTGTGCATGTCAGAATAAAACTGCTTTTACTCAAGTTACAAAAGATCCTCTGTGTGTGTGTGTGTAGTCCATAAATAAATAAAAAACGCTAGGGGTGTGGTGTGTGCGCCTTGTGACTTGTTTGCCTCTTAAATGGACCATGCTTTGCTTTGGAATCCCTTCAGGAAGAAGGGCCAGTCTCTGTGTCACCTCAGGATGGAGTGGCTTCCTACAGCTACCCCCAGAAGGTAGTATCTAGTGCTTTATTGGGGTAGCCCTGTGGAGAGGTGACCTCTCTGCTTGGTTAGTGTCAGTTTGTGGGGTCCCTCTACCTGCCCCTTGCAGCATCTTGTAGCAAAGAATACAATTCCGTATAAATATAAGCAAACCAGAAGGGTGAGAAGATGCCTTGCAGCTGTCTGCAACTCTAAACTGGTATTTTCAAGCCAATTTTTAGAGAACTTGGATAGTTAGCTGCCTTGACAGCTAGGACTTCCAAAATGCATTTATGTGAAGTGAGAATTTTTGAACTATGTGATATTTCCATAGTCTCTGTCAAAGCCAGTTGCAGAGGCAGTCTGCTGAATACTTTTGACTCTTTTCCAGGTGTTGGTGAACTCTGCAGCAGTCTCATCCTCAACAGGTGTTTATGCTGCTCCAGCTACAGGCTTCTCCTCAAATTCTGCTGCCTCCGCTCCAGCTACTGTCACAACAGCAGTTCCCCCACAAACAGCAGTTCAGCCAGTCCTAGTATCTCCCCTTTCTGTAGGGAGGCCAGGTAGAGTGTACATACTGTGGCTATGGACTTGGATGTCAAAGTTTTTGTTTCCATCTTCCCCTCCTTCCCCCCCCCCCCCCCCCCCCCCAATCCAAGACAAATGTTAAAAGGCTTTTACAAAAAAAAAAAGTATCACTTGCTTTGGCTTAAAATGACTTAATAGTAGTTGTAGCTTCACTGCTGACTTTCCTGCTTTCATGTTTTGAAGGGGACAGTTGCCGCTGAATTTGCATGGGAATTTGAGGTCTCTGCTTTGGGTTCCCCTGTCGCCACCTTTAGCCATCAATGCCAAGCATTTTGCTAAAAAGTTCTTTTCGGAAGGCAGAGGTTCATGGCAGCTCCCTTCTCCCCCTATTTCCTACAGTTAGTTTTCTTCTTGAGTTGAGATAGGGGTCCCGAGGCTCTACTATCCTTTCCAAAAGAGTCACTGGCTGTGATGGTTCAGGATCCACACAAATGTCCAATTTGTTGTTGTGGCCCTTGGTTAGCTCCTGTGCTTAGTTATTTCTATGCAAGGAGATCAAATCTGTGATTTGTCACGTGGTGCACTTACCACCTGAAACATGCTGTATCTACTTTGTTAAGAAAAAATGACTTTTCCATTCTTATAAAGAGGACTTTTCCCGTCTTCTGTAACTTCTCATCTAGCATCCAAAAAAACCTCCACCATCAGTTTTGCTCAATTCTGTGTCCCTTCTCCATTTTTCTCCTTGGTTTGTTTTTTTTTTTTTTCTACTCTACATGAGAGTTTAGTCAGCACAGTTCTCTAAGCTGTCTACTGGCTGATGCCATTACAAATAACCTGGTGGTGTGTTAGAGGTGTGGGCCACCTAATCAATATTTAACAGTAGTCTGTCCAAAATATTCTTGGCCTGACATGTCTTGAACCTTCCCCTGTTTTTCTGGGCTTATTGTCACACTTCTGATGACTTAAAGTGATCAGCCAGTTCCCTGTTGTTCTAGGACAGACAGTTACGTACGGAAAGTCTGGCCTGCCTTCTAATACCGAGAAATGATTGAAAAAGACCTTTATTTTTAACTGGAATATGAAGCTTGCAGATAAACATAGGGTTAAGGCTTGTGAGAGTGGAACCTTCCCATCTGGTTTTAAAATTTCTTCTGGACTTTTTTTAAAGTGACTAACGAAGAGAACTTTGTTAAAGCTTGTATTTAGGCGGACTGAGATGACACAGAAGTGCGTGCTTAATTGTGTAACTTAGCATCTTGCTCATGTGACATGCCATTGCAAATTTGACTTGACTTTTGTTTCCTCCTAATTGTAGCAGTTTCTTCAGTGCCATTCCCAATTTATTCAGCTCCTCTTCCTCCAGTCAGTGAGGCGGGAGAAGCTGGTGCCGTTCTTCCACCTTACTCTTGTGATCCCAGTGGCAGTGATCTGCCTCGAGGTAATGACTGTATTTTGTACTTTTGCTCCTGCTGCTCTTCAGCACGCTTCTGACTTGTGTTCTCCATGGAAACTTAACAGAATACCTATAATGAGAAGAAATGGCTCTTTGCAGCTCGCAGAGAGTGAGAAATAATATTATGGATGCTTATGCTAAAAATGTTTTAATTCCTAGTTCCGAATACCAAGTTCATATCTGACTCAAGTATGTGATTACTGCAGCTTTAGACAGCATCCTAAAGAAATGAATACCAAGGGAGAGGGTGCTTGGCCTATATCATACTGGTTCTTGGCAGAGTAATCATGTTTCCTGATAACACAGGTTTTATTTTTTTAAAATCGGTATTTATAAAGTTGTGCTGTTGCACAGTTCAGTGGGACATTGTGTTGTTTTCCTGTATAGCTCCAAGATGTCATTCTGTGACATTTCGAAAGTGGTAATCTTTAGTCAACTTGCTCTTACAATTTAAGAATGTTGGAATACCGTGCAGTTGCATCAGACAGCCAAGCTTGGTAAGCAGTGTAGCAGGCGTATACATATTTGATTTCTTTTTTTTTGTTATTAATTCACGTCCTCATTCTGCAATGCTTATGGCTCACAAGGCATAAATAAGCGAAAGATCAAGCTGTCTGCTGTCCTTACTGCAAGCTAAGTGCTTCTCAGTTACAGGAATAACAGTACTGCTCACTGTTACGCTATGTAACTTGTTTTTCTCTCGGTGGGGAATGCTGTGAGGCCCAAGCATGCCACCGTTGCATCACTGCACATATCTCGAGGCAGTTAAAACTATACTGTGATGCAGTATTTTACATTAGCTGGTAAGGATCGTTGCTCGTGTGTAGTTTTGGACAGCTGCAGAAAATGCTCTACCCTGTGCATGTCCCCTTGCTCAGTCTTTTGACAGTGCATTGGCTCGAACTGCACTAAGGATTAAAAACTTAGAAGAGCTGCAAAAGAAAACTTGGTTATTCAGCCTGCTTGTCCTCTTGATAGCAAGATTCAGCTTGTCCTAATGTGTAGTGCTCAGCCTGGAGCAGAAATGCTCTGGGTACAAGCTGGAGTTCAGTTAGGGTTACCTGTGTTGCCGCTGCATCATGTACAACAGCTTCAGCTATTTCTGCCTTCTCAGGGAGCATGGGAGGAAGCTGCTTTTGGCAGTAGTGTGGCCAAGCTAGAGGTAAGCTGTAGCCTACTCTGAAGAGCAGCAGTGCAGAACTGGCTGGCTGTGGATGTTTTTTGTTGTTCAAGTAGCGGGTATATCTCTGCGCGGTGGTTGAAGTACATAGGCTTTTTAAATATCCCCCTGTACACTGGCTGTGTTGAAAGTCTGTGTGTCATAGCTGGCTTATTCTAATAGCTGTCTATAGATACAGCAGATGACATGATTTTATCAGACTTATGACCTTTAGTTCAAGTTCCTGAATCTCTCATGTTCTCTGTTAGTGTAGAGAGTAGCTTTTCATTCAGGGGTGAGTGAGGGAAAGAAGGGGCTGCATGTATGTAGGGTCTGTGAAATCCAAGTGTTCCTTTTCGCACTGTTAGCGAAACTACACTTTTCCAATAACTGGCTGACTTGATTTCCTCCCCACCTCCCCCCCATCCTTGTAAGTGACTGTATTTCGGGTATATGGCAGTTGTAGCTTTTATTGCATCAGAATGTAAAGCTTTGGGCTTTTATTCCAAAATCTGTTACTTGAAGATGGAGCATAAAATATTTTAGTAATGCAAATTGTTTTCATGCCTGATTCAATGTATTGCCGTCTAAAGTAGCTCTGTTGTCCCTGTGTGGAACTTTCCTCAATATACTAATCCTAGAGGGCAAATTTCAGGTAAGATAAAGAGCTCTTGATATGTGCAGTTCAGGTAGCTACCTCTGGTAGGTTGCACAACAACTTTGGGCTGACATGCTATGGATTCTTTCAGTTGCATTTACCATGTAACATGCTTGTCTTGTCAGAGGTTGATCTGGAAAAAGGCAGGTTCCAAAACACTCTGGTGTGGCTGCTGAAAGGCCTGCTGCTTTCACAGGTCCTGCTAACGTGCTTTGCAGTAACTCTGCTCTCTTGCAGGTGCTCTCAATTCCTGGTTTTGTTAATCTTGAATATTCTGTTTTCCACTTCCCTGCTGCAGTAGTATCACTTGAGATGATACTATGCACACCTCGGAGTTAATGGTTGTCAGCTTTAGTTGAATGCCCTTAACTGAGGCTTTCAGCACTTGGGAGAATTGGGTGTTAAGTGTACTGATGAGAATCTGGAGTGGATGTGGATTAATAACCTCTTCAGACCCTGCCTGTAGCTCTTCAGCTGAGTCATTCCACATAATATTGGCCACGTCCTTCTTAGCATAGACTCTAGACATTTTCTGAAGGATTAACTACCTTAAGTTGGTAGTTAATGAGGAGTTGCCTGTAGCATTTAGGTTGTCACGCTGCTGTGGTATAATCTATATGGCCTTTAAGTTAAGAAATCCAGAAGCTTTGGAGTAGTGCAGGGTAAAGTATGTGGGTGTACGTGACCTAGGGTTCTGTGCACTTTGCTGAAGATACTTGCAGGCCTGGTATGGATTGGGACTGTGACTTGTCAACAGGCTGCAGTTCTGGACTTGGGAGGAAAACCTGCTATGTGCCTTAGTATTACTTGGTACATCTGCATTTGTTCCAATTTTCAGAGTCTCTTGGATCTTTTTAATGGCGCTTAGGGCTTGTGAAACACATTTATTAACATGGCAACCTTAGGTGTCCTACTTTTGCCTGCTCCCTTGTATTTGAAGGAGCTGTTGATAAAAGATGGCTTGGTATTACTGTGTTTCAGAGACTGCAGTAGTGTTCAGGATTGACCAGAGCTCCCCATCAGCACAGTAAAAATTTCATCAGGATTTTTGTCCTGATGCATTGTAAGATGAGATTTTTTTTATCAGTAGTCAACATGGTCTTCATATTTTCACATCAGGGTAGTTAACTTGGCTTAGCTATTGCTTCATAAGGTAGTCATGTTTTGCTGAAGATTGCCTTGATTTCTAGGCATCTTAAAAGAGGAATATAAACAAAAACTGGTCTCCTACTGTACTGGCTTCTGTGCCAGCATTCCACAGACGTCAGTATTTCCAGTATCAGTTTGTCACTTCAGTCTCCCAGCTCTTCCTTTGTACTGTTATCGCTGCTATGGAGCAGCTGTTTCATTCAGCTCTTATGCTTGTTTTGCATAGATTTGCATAAACAATTGAAGAACAAAATCAGATTTAAAAAAAAAAAACTTGTTCCAAATGTAGATGCAGTTTCAGCTGGATACTAAAAAGTTGGCCTTTATGTGAGCCTTTGGGTTATTTTTAATATTTTACTGACTGCGGTCAGTGTCACGGCCAAATAGCCAGCGCTTTCAGGAGTAAGCTTACAGCTGTTAGATGTAAGGAAGGATCTGTGTGCACTGCCGAAAATAGCTGCGTGGATTGTTGCCCTGATCAAATATGCTGAACAGTAAAAGAGTTGAGAATTGGCAAGAGCCACAGAGGAACGAATCCTCGTGCGTTTCAAGACTGAGGTTTGCATTCCTCATGCTGTGCCTATCTGCAGCAAAGTACGATGCGCAGCACTGTAGAAGAGCCGGGCTGGGAAAGTGTGCACGTGTGGTAGATGGGTGGACAGGGAAGCAGTGTGAAGCCAAGGCCCTGGTCTGGGGGGAAGTGGGTACGTGGTAAGAAGATGGTATATGTAGCTCTGGAGGTGTTGCTAAGTTGAATCCCTTAGTGGCTCACTCCTTTTGAGTTGTCTCCCTGCTTTTCCTTTCGTCTCCCAGCAGTACTAAAGCGAAGTGTGTGCGTGTGCATGCACACGCAAACCTACTGCTGTGGAATAGGCGACTTGCTCTTCCTGAGCCTTCAAAACAAATCTGTATTCGAATCTGAGAAATCAATAACTTTTTTCATGCACAACTCCAGAACTGCATCCTAGGATCAAAACATGCGCTCTCTTTTTTTCCTTTCAATGGTCAACTTTAAAGGTTTAAAACTGCTTCACTGTTTGTGGACGATTGGAAATGTATTTCCAAGTTCAAAACCCTGTTGTTCTTGGAGAGTGGTTTCAGAGTTCCTCCACACATCTGGGATTGCTTCTCAGCATGTCATGTATTTGCCTGGGGGTAAATTATTCGGTACATGGAAGACGGAAGTAAAAGACTGCTTGCAAGAAAGCAGGGAACTGAGTACCATTGTGAGGAAGGGGAAGGAGAAGGAAGGAACCTATTCCTCTCCTCCCTCCATTTTCTGGTTTGATATAACAATTGGGAGGATCCCCAAAACTAGGTCAGATGGCCTTAGGATTGCTGCACGTGTTGTCCCCAGTGAGATGTCTCTGTGGTCATTGCTCAACAAAGCTCTGAAGATGGAGATAGAGGCAGAGCCAGGCTCAACACTGGGCAGAAGCAGTGTGGAGCTGGAGTCACTATGGAGTTGGCTTGTTATCTCGCATGCCAGCCCAGTATGGGTATTTGCGATATGTATGCAGAATGTGTCTGGAATGTGTGTACCTTTCGGGGTGAATTGTCACTGGTGTACGAGATGGCTGCTCCTGCCTGGGAGTGCTTTTAGTGGTCAGCTTCATTTAGGGACTCATAATCAGATTCTTATTTGATAACATACTTTTTCATCTAAAAACCCAGCCTTAACAGGAAGCCAGAATTGCTTAAGTCCTAGTTGATTAGACTGTGGAGACTTGTGACAACAGTGACAATTATCACTTCAGTAATCAAGATGAATAAACCAAAATTCAAGCTAATGTAATTGTTGAAGTCAGATAATAAGTTGGTCAGACAAATGCTCTCTTATTGGACAAACATCTAACTGGATTAACTTAAAAAGATAAACTAGTTTCAACAACTATTTATATTTAAGATATATTCTTTACCCTTGAAAAAGTAGTGCTAAAATACTCTTATTTGTTATGTAAGAGTAACTTAAAATAAAATGCTCTTAATGTGTGTAAATTTCTTCTGCTTCTCGGTTTATACTCTTCTGCTCTTTAATGTCGTATCCTTTAATTACAGATACAAAGGTCTTGCGGTATTATTTTAATCTGGGATTGCAAGTAAGTGCTTTTAAAATGAGCATAGTAAATTGCCTGTAAAAACTGCTGTTTTTCTTGACAAATGTACTGACGTATTTAAGACTTCCAAGTGTGCTAAATGTGCATCCTGTGCACTTGACTATTAATACGCGAGGCTTGCTTGGTGGAGATCAAAGTATAGCTCAGGAAGTGAAGTTCTAACTCAAAATGTGAAGCACACTAGTATGTATGTTTTGTTGTTTTACTTTGGGTTGTGGTGGTGGTTTTTTTGTTTTTGTTTTTGCAGAGGATGGTGGATAAATATTGTTCTTTCCGTGAAGATAAGGGGAGGAACCTGAGCCATTCTTAAGAAAATTTGTGTACTTAGACAAGACATCAAAGACCCTTTAGAGCTGTGTGGTTTGAGTCTTCTAGGACTTGTACAGCTGTGTTCAGACTGGTTAGCACCATTTCTCTGTGTTCTGGGAACGCTTGCTCTGCAGAAGAGTTGTCTCTGCACCAGCAGTCATAACGCAGCGTCAGTGCTGCTGCTCAGGGAAGTAAAAGAAGTCATGTCAGCCTCTTCAGCTGAAGAAATAGGAAAAAATTCTTTGAGTATGACAAAGTTGATAGGTGGGAATCTTCTTTCTCTGTAAAGACTTCTGACACAACAGCAATGTGGAACTGAGGTGGCTATTGCTGCAGGTATTGCAATATCTTTTCTGGTAGGCTGTATTGGGTTTTTTTGGTGTGTGTAGTATCTTAAGGGGCTAGGAAGGAAAAAATGCACTTCTTCCTAACTTGAGATCTGAAACTAGTAGTGGTTTGGAGGTGGGATGGAGAATATGTGGTTTGTATGCATGACCTTGTATTTTTTCCTTTTCTCAAAGTATTATCATCAGAGCTATTGGCCTTCCATGGTGTATGTACAGCCAGTGCTGCCACCATCACCTGTGGAAGTTTATCCAGCATATGCTGAGCCAGCTCCTGTCCTAGATCAGTCAGTACCTCAGCTCTACACTGATGCTGGGCGAACTGAAGTCCACCAAGTTCCCTTGGAAGCACCTGCAAATGGTTAGTATTTGAGTATAAGACCACAGAGACGACTCGTGAGAAGTGAGGGAATAGGTTTTTAGAGCATGGCATCGCTCCACAGGAGCTGCTTGCCTGCAGCTTTGTTTTTCTATAGGAAGCGTGAGGTTGGGAGGACATAAAGTAAGCCTTGTAAGGGGGGGTTATCACAAGTTCCTCTGCCATCTGTGGTGGTACTAAAAGTATGGCAGAGTCACTGGTGTAGCTACCAGTGTGTCACGGGCTTTCTAAAGCCATAAAAAGGAAGAATTAATCCTTTCTAGGCCTGTACTAGGTATACTAACTTTAACTTGGGAAAGCTTTTTCTAAAACGGTGAAGGAATCTCTTTGCTTACTGCTAAGTAAATAGTCATGGTATCAAAACAGAATGCCTGTATTTAAAGTAAAGGAGACAGTTGAGTTTTGGCAAGCACTGAGCATTGGTATTTCAACTCCATGGGAATTTTTAAAAGGAAGATGTTGCAAACCTTCATTTTAGGCTCAGCATGCAGAGCTGTTATCTCTTGAGTAGCCCTTATTGCTAGCTGCATCTCTTAACTGCATAAAATTTACAGCAAAACTTGGTTTCACCTAACAGCTTTGTAACAAGCTCGTAGATACACTTGGCAGTAAATAGAAGGATTGTATTAAATGGGGGAAAAGATGTCAAAAAGGCCAGATGCCTAGCTTATTAAAATCTACGGAACAGGGCAAACGGTCCGTGTTGGGAAGGAGCACATTGTAACAAAACTTGCTCAGAGGCATACAGGCTTATTGCTCTGATAATGCTTCAGCCTGTTCAGCTAGGGTGGTTTTTTTTGCATAGATTAGTGGCCTATGGTCAGAGATCAAGTAGGGGAAGAATATATTACTCTTTACCTGGGTCCCTCTTGAAAAAGCTGCCACTCCAATGCAGAATGCTGCTAAGCAATTCTTGAACAGGGTTTAGTGAGAAGATGAGCAAGTTGTCCTCTAGTCTAACTGAGGACCCAAAATGATTTTGACCCCTCTGTTAGGAGGGATGTGTGTGGGCATGAAATTGTCGTCTAAATGGATTTTCCCTTTTGGCCACCAAAATAATGCTGTGTTCATGGTAATGAAAGTCTGCATAAAAAGGCCACAGATATGGTAAAAATATGGTAAGTGTGTGTATTTTGTTCTGTTTTTTAAGGTAACTTTCAAAATGCAGAGCCTCCACCCCTGTCCTACGGGCCAGTATATTACCCAGTCGTGTCGGACCCCTTCAGCCAGCAATCTCTCCCTGGGTTTGATTCTTTAGTACCCGCCTATCGCTATATTAGTACCTGGCATCCAGTAAATCCACCATATGGAAATTCTCCACAAATTGCTAATGCTGTAAGTTCTGGACCGCTGCACCAAGTCAGCTATATTGCCTCACCTAGCCCTGCACCTCATGACGTGCCTCAAGGAATGTAAATGTGGGAGCTAAGCTCCTCTCTTGCCCTTGGTTTCTCTTGTTTCTTGTTTGTCAACTGTATGTTAATATTGTTTTGTAAACGTTCTCCTGTCTTAGTGGGCTGGGTCAGTTGACTAAACTGCATTCAAATTTCATGTTTCTCTTTAGGTTTATGCTAGTGAGAGTTGACTTGACAAGATGTTGTTTTAGTTGATTATGTAGGAAAGCATAGGAGAAGAGTACACACAAACTATAGCGCAGGCAACACAAAGCTTGAATTTGACTACATAAAGTATGTGTTAAAAACATACGCTGTTGCTAAAGGAATGTTGCATCATGTACCTCTGTGAGGGGTTACACTGGAACACTTGGACACCTGGTTCTTGTTTAAGCACTAAAATAGGCTGCCATTACAACTACAGATAAAAATTGGGCATAGGGTCATTAGAGGATGAAGAGGTTTGAAATGGGTTGGCTTTCTCAGATTTCGCAAAACAAAGCTTCTTTGCCACTAGTGGTCATATATTTGTAATAGCTGTATTTCTTCTGTCTAATTTCATTCTGCGTAGGTTTCATGACTCTTGGAAGTGTAAGAATACTGTTTTGATCTGTTGTATATTGCTGTACGTTTGTAGGATTTGTTTTGTGAAAGCTGTTGCACAAATGGTGGTAGTCTTGGTGTTTCATTTGCACTGATAGCACAAAATAAAAGCATTGAACACATGAAAATGAGTGGTCATTTATCACTGGCAGGTTATGTTCCTGACAATTAATTAGTCATCCAACAGCCTGGACCGAAGAAATGTATTTGTCTTGTGTGGGATGAGGCTGCTCTGGCCTTCTGTGAGAAAGTAGCAAAAGCTTTCAGCATGGGAATGAAGTGCAGTGGAAAGCTCTAGCTGTGTTTTTGTTGATAAGTTTAGGAAGAAACCATTGAATAGTCTGTGCACGTGACCTGCAATTCTTTCAAATGTCCGTCTGCACAGGCTCTGTCCTTGATAGAAACTTGCACTGTACATGCAAAATCAACAAGAAGCAGGTGTGAGTTGGGCCCAGCCCCATCCTGGGGTAACAGAGAAGGGCAGGAGTGCAGGTTATGCCGGCTTGGTGCCGGAGGCCCTGAAAACCAGCAGAGATGCTTATTAACAAATCTTCTTGGCTTTTGCATCACTTCAGCATTTGGGTCTCTGAGCTGGATTCTGAAAGCCATGGCTGCCGGATCTTGTAGGGAATTTGAGTCCTCCAAATTCAAACATAGCCTGCTTTAGGTAAGGAGGTGAAGTCAGTAGCTTCAGACCATGGCACAGCTGCCATTTGCCAGAGTTGAAATCAGCTCTATGGGCCCATGCTAGTATTTAGTGATTTATTTTTTTTTTTTATCTTTGCACATAGCTAAGTGGTGGTGAAAAGGGGATTGACTGTAGAATTGGGAGGAAGAAAAAGTGTATTTCCTTTAGTATCCCTTTTAAGTAACAATGGAAGCAAAAACATAGTAGGAAAAAGTGACTCCTTATGGTTTTATCTTAAATTCATGCAGTACTTTTGGTGTTGATCCTATTTCCTTAAAACTCTTGAGACTTCCCCCCTCTTCCTTAAGAGAAGATGGTAATATAATCCTCTGTTGGGAGGGTTGCAAGCTTGGCTTTTGGTTTGTCTCCTCCAATCTTTAATTGCTGTACATTTAACTTGGCAATTTAATAATGGTTTTTCAAGATGGAGCAGCCAGGTAAAAAGTAAAAGCATGATGAAAATGACCCCTGAATAAATAATTTGATTATGAGCTGCTGTGCTGTTAAAAAAAACAAACCCGAAACAATAAACCCCCCCCAAAAAAAAACCAAAAACCAAACCAAAATACGCACACAAAAGGATTTTGCAAAGTACTCGGTGCAGTTAGGACCTTGGCCTTTGTGCAAGTCAAGTGCTCCTCCAGAGGCAGAAATACAGACATTTCTCAGAAAAGGGAGAAGACACCACAGGATTCTTTCCTCCTTTCTCTGAAAAAGCATTCACTAGACTGATCTCTTAAAGAAGTCAGTAAAGCATGTGACTTATTTTATGAACTTTAAAATGGAACGGACTTAAGAAGTACAGTCTCCATGATGGAGTCATCAAGTGTGTTTCCACCTCGGTCACGAGTGCCGTCTGTCATATCCCAAGCAGTTGCTGTCAAGTACCAAAGTGAATATCTTCCACTTTCAGGCTTTAGCTATGAATGATGCTTCCTTTCTTCTACTGTCACTGAGACAGCCTTGCTTTTTTTCTACACAAATGGTTATCATAGCTAAGTGTTGGTGTTTTATCTTCTGGTATTAGTCTGTCTCCTGAAGTCAACTTTTCTTTTTAATTAGAAACACTGACTGATAGTTCTGGTACAGAATCAAGTTTTTTGCATGTTTCTGCTTACCCTTCCAGTAGCTGGCTTATTCAGCATTAGCCGTGGCTATTGCAGCCATGTTGGCCACTCTGATATATGTGCAAATTACATTAATTGGTATAATAATACATGTAATACGCGGCTAGTTAACTTATTTATGGACTTGATATACGGAGGTACCTCTGTGACTTGATAGATCTCTTTTCGCCAGGGCTGTTTATGCTCAAAATTAACTTTTTGAACTAGCAAGTAGGGGCTGTGGGGAGCAGTTAGCAGCGTGTCCTGGAGCTGGCTGATGAATGCTCTCCGTAGGTCAGGAAACGCTGCCTTTTTATTAACAGCAAAAGAGCTTAGAACGGTACAGAAATCTAAGTGAATGCTGGAGTCTTTTCTTTTCAATTCTGCTTTCCAGAGTTGTGTTGCACTACAATAGCTCTGCATCGCTTACTAAAACAGCTGCCAAAAAAGCCACAGCTCTACCTAAGGCACAGCTAACCTGCTTCGTACTTCAGCCACATCCGCATCGCGATTCTAGGTCTGGCTGCAGCACCCCTGTACTAACGACATTCCTGGTTTTGTGGTTAAGTGTTCCAGTGGCTAATTGCTACAAAACAGTTGCCTTTTCAGAGGCTATAAGATAATTCTCATCAAAATTACCCAGAACTCTGGGGGTTTGTTTGAGAGGGGTTTTTGTTGGGGGGGTGTGGGGGTGTATGTGTGGTCTGCGAGTGCCGAGATGTGGGCTCAGGGTCTTTTTTTTTGTGGGGAATCCAGTGTCAGCCTGGTGATCATCCAGATTTGTTTACTTTGGCACACCATTTGATTATTGCTCTGTTACGATTTGGTACCAGACCAACGCTCTGGGTTTTTCAGGCTGAGCAGAATCACAGAATTGCCGTGAACAGGGGTAGCAGGATGTAGCTTGCAGTCATAAGCGTATTTTATCTTTCAACAGAAGCACAGAAAAATCCATGAGTATTGATTTCTATTGGGCACAATTATTTTTCTTCAGATTGATTTTTTTTTTTTCTTTCTTTCTTCTTTCTTTATTGGGCTTCTTGAAGTATGTTGTATAATAATGAATTTTTAAAGCAAGGATTTGAGCCTGAAATGTGTTTTTAATTTTTCTTTATTTTTTTGTGGATGGGTTTTCAGCCTTTAAAAGGGAGAACAGAAGAGTCGTGCAGCCAAGTCTGCGCTAGTCATGCTTGCCGCCTCCTTTTCCACACCATGTTTTTATATATGAAAGGCAGGGGCTCAAATTAAATTAACACCTGAAGGCTGTGCGGGAAGGATCCCTGAGCTGGCAGCGCCACAGAGCGCTCTCTTTAGATGTGAGCACTTCTCATTTCGTAGCCCTTAAAAACAGCCTCAGAGCCAAGCCTCTTCTCTTCTGAAACCCCAGGATGAAAGAAGCGGCGATCAGATCTTGTGCTTTGGGGTGTGAGCTTCTTGTGGTTTTAAGTATGTCAGTCTCTCTTAAACTGCTGCAAATCTCTCTGCCCTTAGAAGGAGCAGGCTTCCATCTGGCTGCGTTTGCCCACTGGTCGCCAGACGCTAGAGTGCCCTTCTGTTCTCCGAGCACCGCTCGCTACGCGGTACAGTTAAAAGCGTGGTGTTTTGGCAGAGGTGCTCGGGTCTTGCACCAAAGGACGTGCCCAGCCCGTGCCCTGTCGCGGTCGGGCTGCGAGCGCTGCCCGCCTGGTGCCTCGCGCCCTGCAGCCTCCTCCGCAGCTACGCTAGTCCCGCTCTCGCCTGCGTGCCTTAGCATCCGTTGTGTTGCTGCTGTTCGCTAGAGGCGGGAGTCCCTTTCTGAAGTCTTTTGAATTGTAAAATCCATCTGTTATTGAAGATAATTATTATAAATACTGTAGAGAAAAACCACGCCGATTCTGCCTGCCGGCAGCATTAGCCGGCAGGGTTATCGCCAGCTATCGCTCCTGTGCTCTGTTTTCCCCTTGCTCACGTAAGAACACCAAACTGATTCCTACAGCAAGTTGTTTTTCTAGCTGAGTTGTTTTGTTTTACTCTTAGCTTCCAGTTCTCTCTGCAGCGCTGCTGCATACCTTTCTCTTTTATAAAATTACACCATCAAAAGACTGCATTATATGTGGAAGCTATTCAACATATAAATCCAGACCCAGACTTCCAAGTAACCACTTTTTTCATAAGGGAGGAAGATAAAACCCTTGGACCAGGACTTTATAGCTTTGAAATAAGATCAGAGTTTAAATTTTGCAGGGCAGGCCCGCATCTAGAAACTCCTACACATGATGCAGTCACTGCTGCTTACCAGATTTCGGAGTCAGCTGAGTTGCGGCAAGCATGAAGTAGTTAAGCCAGTACGAGGCATAGGCTAGGAGCACGTACACAGGCAGTTACCGCGCTTCAGTCGTCTCCGCAAGTGCGGCCATCTGCAGTAGCAGGAACACGTGCCCAAGTCCTGACAGGGTGTTTTTATGTGGTAGGCTCCGTTTATGGCAATACTTTTATTCCAGATGCTAAATCTTGCGTTCCCTGGAGCAGGTGAACATGTTGCCGCTAGCTTCGGGGTGCTGGGGTTTACCCCAAGATCGGTGTCATTCTGTTCTCGTAGCTGCAACGGCTGCTTGACTTTGTTGTGTTAGAGAAAATGGTCTTTTC